TTATTATTCCTATTATTGTTGTTTGCATTATTATTGTTGTTGTTGTTGTTGTTATTTCTTCAGAATAATCATTTGGAAGAAGAACCTGTCCCGGAGCCCCACAGTGATGATGGGTCAGGGAGAAGAAACAAAGCTGTGTTGGGTTTGCATGGAATCACCTGCACAACACCTGGCTCTTCTACCCAGGCCTGGACTCTCACTGTTAAGATATGAGGAAAGAGAAGGGGAAAAGACAGACAGGAGAAAATATAGTTGGCACTGTCTGTCTCCCTTGAGCCAGATTCTGGACTCACTAGGGAGTTTTTCTTTATTAAGTACTATTTTCTTGTCAGCTCTGAGAGCCGCAGAAACAACACTGTTCTAGTGACATGAGTTGATTTCTTAGACCTGCTAGTGATCAAATATATCAAGTACTGCACAAAATCTCAGGCTCAATGAGACATCAGTTATTATCAGAAATTTCAGTTATCAAGGAGATAACTGCCTACAGCCACAGCCATCACATCTCACTCCATCAGTGAATCTTTTCCATGAGCACTGAGCAGGGGAACAAACTGTTTCTCAGCCCACAGCAGCACTTCACACAGCACTTAAGTGCTCCTCCTACCACTGCACTTTGGGACAGGACATCAGAATAAAACCAAGACAGCCCCTGCAACCAAATTCTAACTCAGTCTGACTCATCCCATGCTCCAGCCGCTAATCCAACAGTCTACTATGTAGAAATGAATGACTCAAACTGATATCTGGTGCCTCCATGTTAATCTTCTCCCTTAATAAAGTGTCTTTATTACTTTAGCAATCTAAAAATAACTGGCTGCATGATACTGACCAGCCCTAATCAAAACATCTGCCAGCCCAGCTAGCTCGAGCTACCCTTTAGATCATGTGCCACCACTTCAAAGCCCCCAGCATCAAGTCAGTAATTGTAACATTGCATCTAAATATTTAAGCTAGGGGCTGGTAGTCGCGTGTCCCATTTACAGTCAGCATCTGTCCTCTAATTCCATTACAGTACAAAGCAAAAATGTTTCCCAAAACTCACAAACAGGAAAAGCATCACACAGCTAGAGAGGCAGCAGCAGCTTGAACTTTCGAGCTGCTGAGCAGGGCTTTTGTGCTAAGGTCCTTTTTCTTCCTACCCCCTCAAACTCCCCACATACACACACTAAAATAGGGGTGGTACCGAAATTGTATTAATGTGAGCCTCAGGCACACAGAAAAAAAAAGAAAAGAGGAAGGGGAGGGAAAGGGGGAAGGGTTTGGTCCAAGATGAAAGTAAGAAGAAAATAAAGGAGGCAATTTAGTCTGCTGTAGCCTGAATTGCTCTCAGTAGAGCCAAGGGTAGAGGCTCGGGATGAGTAGGGCCCTTTTTGGACGGGTGCGCATGACTGGGGGAGGATCCACGGGACAGGGCCCGGGGGCCAATTCCGCTGGCTGGGAACAGAGGCCCCCTTTGAGGCCAGGAGGGGGGGTCCCGGCCCCAGCCCCCTCCCCAGCCCGCTCACAGCAGCCTGGGGAGCAGCTCTGCCCCATCCCTGCGGGGCTGAAAGCCGCTGGGTGCTGCCAGCAAACAACAGCTATCTTATGGAGGGGGAGTGATCGGATTAGTCAGCAAAGCGTGCTGCACAGAACTGCCCCCAAAGGTACAAGCAAGTCCCTCTTCCGTAGTGGTCCCTCTTCCGTATGCTAAAAATAAGCCCTGATGTGCCACATAAAGGCACAAAAATTTCTGGTGTTCTATATTTATGGCTTGTGCCTTTCAGAAAAAAATTATCGCATGTGCAGAAATACAGATATGCTGTTATAGAACTATCAGCCTCCTGATACACACTCTGACAATCAAGTTTTCTTTAAATATATCCCCAGAAGCAGAGCTGAGGGTGACACTGGCAGAAACACCAAAATGCAGCACGTAAAGGGCTGCACATGTGGCATCTGTAAACGGTGTGAGAATCACATGTAAGTGTCCAAGAAGAGAGGATGAAACGGAATCACACCAGGCATGCAAAAGTTTACCTACACCCATATATGTGGTGGGAGAGATCCCAATGATTCACTGTTTCTGTCACACATTTTTTAAAAATATCATGATTCTATTCTCTCTAATCCCACTCTGATGTAAATACTCACTAAATCTTGAAATAGCTACATTAAAAAGACAGCTCTTGTTGTTGGAAAAAATGCCACTCCTTGAGCCACCCAAAGGCCCATGGTGAGGAGGGGATTTCAGGCAGCGCCAGCCTAAGTCCAGCACTAATGTGTGCTCCCGAGCAGAAAAGCCATCGTGAACAGCCTCAGCAGTCACTTTCTGACCTATCCCACAGCCCTCCCTGGCACCCAAGCTCCAGGATACCTCAAGCCTCCAAGAATAGAGCTACAAAAACTCCTCATATTGCACAAAACCCCACACTTTGTTCCCCTCTGTAACACAGAGCACTCAGCGCTGAGCTGGCACCGAGGGGTTTGCTGCCCAGCACATGGACACCCTTTGGACATTCTGTAAACAGCCCGAGTGTCAGAAGGGCATCTGAGATGCATTGCCAGCAGCACCCTCTGCCACTGCCTTGTAGCCAAGGTGGTGGGTGCTGGCAAATATGATCCTGCAGCATCAAACTCCTCAGGAGTGCTGCCAGTTATTTTAGTAACAGACCAGGATTGTTTTTATAGATGGCGTGAAATCAAAGTTCCTCGGCTGGCAATGGAGTTGAGGCAGAACTTTTTTTGGTCAGATACAGAAAGCAGTGGGCTTCTTTTATGGTGATTCTTTTCTTGTAATGGTGTCACTGGTGTGCTGTGGCTATAGAACCACACTCCATGCAGGGCACGAGGGTGGCAACAAATGTTTTCTGGAGCAGCAGCGCACTCGCACTGCAGCATCCCAGCCACTCCAGTAATGAGATTAAGCAACAGCTTGCTAGTCAGGGAGGGGGAGCAGGCGTTGCTGTGGGGAAGAGCACACTCTCCCTCACATTGCCAAGCCTTCCCAGCCACTGTCACAGAACAGATGGGATTACCAAAGCTGCCGTTTCCACACAACTGTCCGGTCACGTTCACGCAGCAAAAACCTGCATGCCTAGGGCAGGAAAGGACTGCACTACTCCATGTAATCAAGGGAAAAATTGCTACTGATTGAACTCAAAACAAATAAAGTTAGACATTCACATCCACAGAAAGTGAAAGAAAGGGTACGTTGCAGCCTCCTCCTACAATTGTACTGGAAGGCACGAGGGAGCCACTCCTGCAGCAAGGCATCACCAGCCACAGTGGCTTTCCTGCACAAGTTTTGGGGCTCCCCTGGGCTGGTGGGAGGCAGCCATGCACCCAGACACTGATTTATAATAAATCAGGAGCCTCACTTTAAAGAGCAGACAGTCAAAGAACAGGAAGACTGTTTGAAAGAGAAACAGAAGGATGGGTTGTATCGATAACATTTTTTTCTCTTGCTTTCTCTATTAACCACTCTTTCTTCCATAAAGCAGCAATATTTCAAGGCTCGCTTATCTCGTTTCTAATCTCTGTCAAGAAATTGAAGAAGGCAGCAAAGCTAGACAACTAGGGCACTGAATTTAGCTATTTTTCCCTTGGTGCACATCCCTCTTGAAAAATCCTCTGTTGAAGAAGATGCTGGAGGGAACTCTGGACCCATCATATGGGAGCAACTCGACCAGGCAATCAAACTGTGTCTTCTGCCTTAAAATCTCTAATTTTGTTAGCATCTTCTGCATGTCTGTATTGCACACCTCTTTGCAAACACAAACACACAGAAGATGAGGCTTCCCTGAAAGTTTTAATAACAGTTGAAAACTAAGTTTTAGGAGGGTTTAGTGGTTTGTTCTAACAAAACAAGGACATGTCCTACTGACAAAGAATGGATTTCTGTTGTCCTTGCACAGCCTCAGCATCCCTAGATGCTTAGAAATGCTATAAACATTTTCTCTCTAAAACCAGCTATTTTTTTCCACGTTTGAGAGTCCATAAAACTGCGTGGAGCATCAGCTATTAGGGGCTCATTGAATAATTCATCCCTCATTGCAAGCCCATAATGTCTTTTCTCAGCCTTTTGTGGGGCTGTTTTCTCTTCTTTTCTCCTTGAATTATAAAAAGGTTGCCTTCTTTTGTTCACATCAAGCTGCTGCTAGCTGAAGCTTTGTCTGTGCAAAGCCAAAGTGTGAGTTTCAATGGACTCCCCCCTCTTTGTTTTCCAAGTTCATCTCCAAGTGTAGATTGTGTATAGAAGGCCTTCTTTGTAAAAGCTGGAAAAGTTGTACAAATGTTTGACCAGCTCATTTGGTACTTTTGTCTCGCCTTCCCCAGCGCCTGTGCATGTGCTGGGCAGCGAGTTCCCCGCAGAGGCGGCCGGGCCGGGCCCTGGCCTGGCGCTGCACCCCGGCCGGCCGGGAGCCAGGCTGCAGCAGCTGTGCCCCGCAGCAGCCCCTCACCTCCGCCTCGGGCAGGGCGCACCCTCCTCGCACGCCCGGCCAAACACCGGCACATGCTCTCCCCAGCAGTTTTAAGAGCAGAAAAAACAAAACATGTGTCTCCCTGCCCTGTTCACACTGCAGAGACTTGAGGCTCCACAGGCTTTTGCTGCAACTGCCCGTTCTGTGCAGCTGCAGCCTTTTGCTGGGATTGGGAGAGGAGCCCCTGCACAGCCGTGGTGAGGGGCTCTGTGGCTGTGGTGAGGGGCTCTGTGGTGGCCCCAACCCTCCCTGGTTACTGGAAGCCAAACCAGCAGTGCCTCCCATCTTTGTTCCAGCCCCTGCGCCTTTCCCACACGCTGCAGGGTCGCTCTGCTGGGGAGTGGGACACGATGGGACTTGGCAGCCAGGCTGGCAGGGCTCACTCACCCTGCACTTCCCGCTGGGCTGGCCCCAGGACAGCCTCTGGGAGATGGGGAGTGACAGCCACCAGCTCCGGGCACCGGGGAATGGGAGTGATAGCCACTGGCACTGGCCATCGCAGGGCTCTACGGATGGCAGGGGCAAACGGGACTTTACCTCTTTCGCTGAGGATGCCGTCAATGCTGTGCTTGGCCTTCTTGTCACCTTCCTCCACCTCTTTTCTTTCCAGCTCAGCCTCCTCTTCCTCGCCTTTGCCAAACTTGCTCCGCAGGATGCGGCTGATGGAGCTCACTTCAGGGGGGAGTGCAGAGCTGTGACCGGCTCGTCCCCAGCAGCCCCCGCGGCTCTCGGGCCAGCCCGGGAAGCCGAGTTCCCCCTCAGAGCCCTGTGTCCCTCGGCCACTGCCAGTCGGGACTTAGGGCAGGCAGCCTGTCACTCCCGTCCCCGCGGAGGTTTCACCGTCCCGCACCGAGCTCCAGCGCGGGCACAGCGGCTCCCGGGAATATTTCGATTTCGAGCCCGCATGGCGGGTGATAAAGACCCCCGGATCCCTCACAAACACTGCTCCGGCTCCGTGTGCCCCCTGCCCCATCCCGCAAACACCCCGCCAGCACAGGGAGCAGCTGCCCATCTCCTTCTCCCCAGCTCCGCGTCTCCGGCCGGCTCCGAGCCCTCCTGCGCAGCA